TTTACTTTGTGGCTTGAGGAAAAACTCCAAAATATAACACCGTTCCTTTTGGGTGGAGACTTTGGACTAAGTCAGTTTGCCAGTGTTCGCTTTTAAAGTAGTCGAGCATATGAAAATGCATGTCAGTTCTTTACAGAACATTGGAACAGAAATATGCACTCAGTTGAGATTTTAACTTAAGTGCACAAAAAATTATATCCAAAGGTGAAGAAAGTGAGTGTTTCTTAAATTGCTATAATTTGGTTCATGTTCTGGAAAGCTTTGATAAAACGTAACCAAGAAAAACATTTTATTTTCCAATGTGAGGATTTACTGGCAAGGGAACCCTTACAATTAATTGTCTTTGTCAAGTGCTAAGAACTTTTTGGGTGTGGCAGTCTTAAGAAAACTAACCATACGGTCAACCGGAAGTTTGCACAGGAATTGAAAACTTGGGTTTAGTTAGAATGGAAACACCAACCTGAAAATGTACTTTTAAAAACTGGTTGGCACCAAAAAATTCCATATACCTAGCTTGAAAAAAGTGCACTGATTAAATGATTTGGTCTGGATTTGAGAATCTGACCAAATACTAGGAAGTGTTTCCTAAAATGGGAGATTTCCTTAAAGAATGTATCACATCTTCCACAGTACTGTCAATTTGAATGGTAGTTTTATAGAAAAAATCTCTAGATTATTTTACATTTATTACCACTTTAAAGGTGTTGGACTCTAGGACTCTACTTAGTGTAACCTAATGTAATAATAGTATGGATTAATCTCATTTTATAAATGAAACCATAGTATCTAGAGATTCTGCAGAATCTTCTGGTTGCCCTTGGTGTGTGGGGAAGTCCTCTTTGAGGATAATTATTTTTCACTTCTCCTTCCATTGCTAGTCAATCTTCCTTACATGTATTTCTCCTTTTGTCATAACTCTAAATGGTTTTATTTCTATTTAATTAAGCAAAAGTAAATAAAACCACAAAGTCATTGGCAAGTCCTTTGATTTAAAACAAGATCATACTCCTTTAGATCTGTAAACTGAACCTCCTTGACTTTTGTTGACTGTTCCATTCACTTTCTCTGGCATCTGAAATCTTTGTGTATTACATAGAAGCCTGCTCTGCAAATCACCCTGTCTTTAGTTTCATACAACACATATCCCTTCACACCAAAGATCTTCCATTAAATGCTTGAAAAGTAGACTCTAGACTCTAGAATGAGTGAGCATCCTCATAATTTGGAAATCTCAGGTGCCTACATGGCAGTTTTCCCACCCTAAATAAAGAATACTTAATTGCTGTATGAATTATTTTCATTTTACCTCAGATTTCTGAATTTCTATGGGAGTTCTGCATTTGCTGAGGTCTTGTTAAGTAAAGACAGTTAGTCTTAATTGTTTGGGGAAAGTTAAAATGGGACAGAAAACCAGTATTAGCAAGGAGTATAAATGACAATATCCTAAGTAATTTGCTCCTTGGGATCATAGCACTGTTCCTGATTAGGCTTCCTCTCCACCAGTGTTTACTCCACCCCATACTTTTCGTTTGGTCGGAAAAAAACTACACTTTACTTGTTTTGGAACAACTGACTGTGAAGCTAAATTCCCTATCCCTGAAAGGATGCAGGTTTCTAGTGGGAAATAAACACATAGAACAGACTACAACTTCCTTGAAAAGGTAGTAACTTGCCCAGTGTTACACTACCAATTTTTGGTAGAATTTAGACTAACCTCTGACTCTCTTAATTTTAATGATGTCTTGTAGCTTCTAAATGGAACAGAATTTTTCAGGGTCTTTTTATCCCACCCTCTGAATCTTTTAGAAACAAAGATCTTTTCTGAACTCAGTATTTGATAATCATGTACCACCTTTGAGTTATTTTTCAGTGTTGTCACACATTGTTTTAACTTGAGAGTCATACTTCTGGAATGAAAACTATGTGACTCATTTCATAAATTGAACCAATCATCTTATTTCTTTATAGTTGCCTCCCCAACAATATTTTATGCTCCTTAAATATAGGAGTATAATATTTTGCTTTATATTTCTTTTTGTTGTTGTTATTGTTAATCCTCACCCAAAGATATTTTTATATTTTTCCATTGATTTTTTAGATAAGAGTGGAAGGGAGGGAGAGAGAAACATCAGTGTGAGAGAGACACATCGATTGGTTGCCTTCCACATGACCCTGATTGGGGTGGGGATGGAACCAGAAGCCTTGACCACTATAACCACTAACACCGGCTGGGCATAGGGCTTTTTTAAAATTAATTAATTAATTTTTTTTTAAGGGAGAGCAAGAGAGAGAGAGAAACATCAATGAGAGAGAACATTGGCCAATTCCCGCATGCCCCCCCACTGGAGATCTAGCCCACAACCTGGGTATGTGCCCTGACCGGGAATAGAACTGGTGACCTCTTTGTGCACCGGCTGGGCAATGTTTTTTCCTTATTGATGTTAGAAAGAGAGAGGAAGGGAGAGGGAGAGAGAGAAACATCGATGAGAGAGAACATCAGTTGGCCACCTCCTCCGTGCCCCACACTGGGGATCAGGCCCACAATCTGGGCATGTGCCCTGATTAGGAATCGAACCGATGACCTCTTGGAGCATGGTCGATGCTCAGCAACTGAGCCAAACCAGCCAGGGCATATTTTTTAATTCTTAAATAGTTTTCACCTCTAGGGACATTTGATACATATTTACTGTCATTAACTGATCATATTAAAGGTTGATGATTAAATATTGAATGAGCTAAAGAAAAGTTCAATGTAAGACCATTGTCAGTGCTGACAATGTCAGTGTGTGTGTGTGTGTATTACTTTATAACCCAAACGGAGCATTTTTAGAAGGTTCCTAGAGCCCCCCCATCCCACCAGATGTAGTAATATGAGATTTTGTAGATCAAAAAAATCAGTTGTCAACCATTTGTCTTGTAATTCTCATCAGTTTCTTTGGTCTTAAAATAACTGACATTCCTGCATCATTAGAGGAAGACAGTATTGTCAAACAAAACAGTCTATTTTTAAACATGTGCTTTGGTTTGCAATGCCATGGCATGCCTAAAATAATAAAGAGATTTGCACTGGTAACTATCTGCCACTAGTTGGATCTCAACCACTTACCCTAAGTCCTTCAGTACATTTAAGAGTGAGGAAATAAAATACTCCATATTCCTTGTAGTTTTTAAAACTACATTTAGACTAGAGGGGAAATTTACAGCTCTGTGTAGTTGAGATAATAATGGAATTTATTGCCCGTTAAAGGTATTACAGCATGAAAATAATGCTTTCGTGAATGGTTTAAATTATGAAAGGTAGCCTCCTAAAGGATGATTAAAGGAAACTTGGAAATTGGTGAGGAGTATATAACATAACTTCTGTGTCATGTAAGGTATATCCTACCAACACATTCCAGTGTATTGTCAAGGGGTGCTATATTGGATAGACTGGAATTTGTGACTCTGGAACTTTCTACTAAAATCTAAGAACAGATTTAGCTGGGTCTGGGAAACTAAGGCAGAGCTTTTCTTACTATTTCCATAATTGAATTTAGTCTGGATGATGTGGTATAATCAAGGAAATAATGTAAGAAATAATTTTAAACTCACACAAAGCATTGTATTCTGAGGTCACTTTGCAGTTTGGAGATCTAGGTAGTGCTTCATTCTTTGCAACCCACAGACTTATTTTTAGACCAAGGACATAGTGTTTTGCTACATCATAGCTAAATGTTGTTTTCAGAACGTAAGCTTTAAAATTGTTATCCTGTTCAGAGAATGAAATCAGTGGTGCTTATTTTAGACCTGCTTGGAAGAATATAACTCAATACAGTGCCTTAGTCTTGCTCAGTAGAGGTTTTGCAGACTATCACCACCTCAGCTCTGAAGGATGGTATGGTAAAAATTTATCTGATGACCATGGTATTTTTAACTCCAACTAAAATGTTATCGTTTTTTAAAGATTCAGTATTGAAAGGAAAATTCCTTTTCATTTTAGGTATTAGACATTCTTTTTACTTTTAACTTAAATTGTATAGGGATAAATTTAGATTACTAGAGAGCAAAGATAGTTTCCATATCTCTTACAATGTTTTCCAAACTTTAAAAAATTAAGTTAGCTTTAAAAACTATTGTGCTTTGCTTTTTTATAGAGGACTTAGTCACTGCAAGTGATTTAGGTTGGCTCTGTGCAAGAAATTGATTTGGGTAGAGTGGAAATATCAGCAAAACTTAATTACAGATTAATTAACTTCAGAGTTTTGTGTACTTTTAAGTTAGCCTTTCAGCAAATATCTTTCTTGACTATTTTGTTTCCAGTAGTAAGGGTACAGTAAGAATTGGTAGGTCAAAGTGGAAGAACGATATTTGGCAGTAAAGATTAGGAGACGAAGACCTGTTTCATAAGTTAGTCCTCCTTCCTACTTCTGTCCACTTTAGAATGGAATAGTTAGTTTAGGCTAGGGCTGTAGGATAGACCTGTTGAAGATGGATTAGTATTCCTCAATACTTACAAATCACTGAGGTATAGAACTAGAACTGTTTCTTGTTTCTATATTGCTACTAAACCAGTAGATTTGGTCATCAGCCTTTATTAGGCTACATAGCAGTACTGGGACATGCAATCTTGTCAATATGCTCTGTACTTTTAATTAATGTTGGTTATAGTTTGGAATTTAAAATTAGTGATGGACTATTGATTAAATGTCACAACTACTGAGGATGAGTGAGCTCAAAGCAAGATTCTGGTTTTTCTCATTGTAGTTTGGTTCTATGAGTAATGGTAATTAGTTGAGAGCTATTTTTGCCAAGTGATACTATCCTGCCGAATAATTTTTAGACACATTTCTAAGTAGCTTAAATATATCAGGAAGGTTGATTTAGTTTACCTTTTATTATTCTTTGTCTTCTTTTATTTCCCTTCATAATTAGGATCTAACTACCACCATGTCGAGCAAAAGGGCAAAGACCAAGACCACCAAGAAGCGCCCCCAGCGCGCAACATCCAATGTGTTCGCCATGTTTGACCAATCACAGATTCAGGAGTTTAAAGAGGCCTTCAACATGATTGATCAGAATAGAGATGGTTTCATTGACAAGGAAGATTTACATGATATGCTTGCCTCCCTGGGTAATGATCAGTTTTAATATTAATATATTAAATGTAGTTTTTGTGATGCCTTTTATGTTTATTTCTTTAGTCTTAAAGCTCTGTGAAGCCAATCTAATGATGTTATCGTTTACTAAATAAGATTCAAAATCTAGAGCAGTGTCTCTCAAAGTATGGTCCTTGAACCACCTGCAGATTTCTGGCCAGAACTCATGATTGGACTAGGGGCCAGTTGTTTGTGTGTGTGTTGCAAGGACTGATCTTGATTATGAGAGCAGTATTATTCCTTTTGATGTCCCAATGGAATAGCATACAATCTCCTCTCTTAATACAGGCCCTGTTCATTGAGAAGACTTTTTTCCTAATAGTTTTGCTACCATGAATGCAAGCAACAAACTGTATAAATGATAATCTTTCTTGTCATAATGTTTACTATGATGAATAGTTGATGCATTTTGTGATGTAATCAAAATTATGACACTCTTTTTTGTTTAGGGAAAAATCCAACCGATGAATATCTAGATGCCATGATGAATGAGGCACCAGGTCCCATAAATTTCACCATGTTCCTCACAATGTTTGGTGAGAAGTTAAATGGCACAGATCCAGAAGATGTCATCAGAAATGCTTTTGCTTGCTTTGATGAAGAAGCAACTGGTAATTACCATGATTTAATTTTTTAGTTATGGTAACTAAATATATAATAACTTGAAATATGATGACATACTATCTTCAGGTTTATACTATAGTTGTTTCTTCGTTGTTGTTTTAGACAAGCTTCTCCTATGACATCACTCACTTTACTGCTTCTGCCTTTAAATACCTGATTTACAATTTAATGGGTGTATTTGAAAGTTCTTTGGGAAACTTATACTCCACAAGGGTGAGGCTCTCAGTAAATATGTGCTGAATGAATAACTTTTACCAGTGCAATCTTGGATAAAGTGTAAATTGCTATAGGCCATGACACCAGTACTGTGTTTATCAGGTACCTCTCAGTTCTGAGATTATTTAAATCTGGTATCAGACTCTCTGGTTTCATATTCCTATTCTGTATAACTGTATGATTTAGGGCAAGTTACTTAACTATCTAAATCTCTGTTTTCTTATTTGTAACATGGGCAATAATATTACCTACCTCATAGAATTATTGTGAGGATTAAATGGAATCAGATAATAGCATACTGCCTGGCATAGAGTTAACTCTCAACAAAAAAGTTAACTACAGAAATGCCTGATCCTTTGGCAGAAGTATATATAAAAGAAAAGGGGCAACTCACATGGCAAGTTTTTTGAGAAGGAAGGCACACCCTTTGGTTATGCATTATTTGGAGTAGTTTAAATAGGCCAAACATAATCTCTGCAGTTTGGCTTCCTAGGCTCCCTACAAAATGGCCTCTTTGGTTTATTCAAGTATACTACCCTTGACTCTTGTATCGTCTTTCACCTCCTTCCAAGCTTCTCTATGCATTGTTGTCCTAACTTACCTCCACCATTTCTGCCTCAGTGCCTTCCTCATTATACCACCTTCTCCCTCTTAAACTTGAAACTCTTAATATCGTTTTCTGGAAGAGCTGGAGAAGAGGCAGACAGAGTAGAAAACTTTTTTTTTCTCCTAAGGACTCTTGTGTATTGATTGAATTTTTTTTATTATGAGGTGTTTGATTTTTTTAATGGAGGGGAATAAAGTGCCATAAAAGAGTAAAATGTCTTATCCATTCTTCAGCCTCCTCTCAATGGTCATATTCTTTTTAGAGCCTAGTCTGCATTTTCATACTATTTTTTCCTGTGTGTAGGAAAACTTAAAGTCTCTCCCTTCTTTCCACATCCAAACAATTTTATTTATCTCTCTTCTGGTACATACTGGGTCTAACCTTCTATTTAAGTTGTGTATTTATTCCCACTTATTACAGTCTCTCGCTGCTTCCAGGGTAATGGATGTGTGTCTTCAAAGATTATATTCCCATCTTTATAACCCCTTCTGCCACCTACCACAGTCCATTACACATAGTCGATGATTAGTTTATATGATAGTTGAATGACTTGGCTGTAGATGATTTATTTCTACAAGCTGAAAGTCTAAGATATTTTGTACTTTTTTTTCTTTTCTCCTCACCCGAGGACATTTTTTTTTGCATTTATCTTCAGATAGAGCAGGAGGGCGGGGGGCAAAGGGGGAGAATGTGATGTGAGAGAGGCACATCAGCTGGTTGCCACCCACATGATCCCAACCGGGGCTGGGGACAAACTGCAACCGAGGTACATGCCTTTAGTAGGAACCAAACCCAGGACTCTCTGGTCCGTGGGCCAATGCTCTAACTGCTGAACCAAACTGGCCAGGGCTGTACATTTTTATTTTATCCTCACCTGACGATATGTTTACTGATTTTTTTTTTTTTATTAGAGATAGCGCAGTGGGGAGAGAGAGAAATATTAATATGAGGGAGAAACTTCTATTGGTTGCCTCCTGTATGTGCCCCAAATGGGGATTAAACCCACAACCTTGTTGTGTGTCCTGACTGGGAATCAAACTTGCAACCTTTTGGTGTACAGGACAACACTCCAACCAACTGAACCATCTGGCCAGGGATTTTTTTTTCTTTAATCTAGGGTTGAATTAGGGGTAAAAACCATAAATCTAGTTTCCTATGTAAACTGATCTTGTAAGTTTATAGGAAATATATTATCAATATTTTAGCTTAATTTTCCAGTCAAAGAAGATGTCCTTTTTTTTACATTATGAAATTCAAAATCTTTGTGCTTACATGATCATTTATCACCATTGGTTAGAGTGTTATGATTGCACATGTGTGTTACTTGGGGAGCCTTTTTTAAATAATGCTCCATACCTGGCTGGTGTGGCCTAGTTGGTTGGAGTATCATTCCATACACCAAAAGGTGGCAGATTTGACTCTCTCTCTCTCGGCCCCCGTCTCTCTTTAAAATCAATTTATAAAATAAAATAAAAATATCAATGCCAGATAATAAATGAAGGATAGCTTTTGGACTTTTTAAGCTCTCTGGATGATTCTAATTCTGATGTGCAGTCAGGTTTTATGAGAAACCTGTTTTCACAATTTGAAAGTAGAAAGCACAACTTTCGGCTCACCACTCACATCCCCAGTGCTTAGCCTGGTAACTGTGACATAATTAATGCTCAAACATTTACTCAGTATTTTTGCACACCCTGGGCCTGGCCATATTTTTAATTAAATCTACATTAGATTTGTAAAAAAAAAAAATCTTATTTTACTTTTTTTTTTTATTAATCCTCACTGGAGGATATTTTTCCATTTATCTTCAGGTAGAGTGGGAGGGAGAGGGAGAGAAATGTCCATGTGAGAGAGACACATTGACTGGTTGCCTCCTGAATGACCCCGACCAAAGCCGGGAGCCGAATCATAACTGAGGTATGTGCCCTTGACCGGAACTGAACCTGTGACTCTTTGGCCGCAGGCTCATTTTACATATTGAAAAAACAAAGTCAGAGGTCAAGTGAAATACCTGAAATAACATAGCTTGTTAAAACCAGACCTCAAACCCTAGCTGGTGTGGCTCAGTCCCATGCACCGAGAGGTCACCAGTTCACATGCCCTGGTTGCAGGCTTAATTCCCAGGGTAGGGGGCATGCAGGAGGCAGCCGATGAATATGTTTCTCTCCCCCCACTCCCTTTTTTCCTCTTTCTCTAAAATCAATAAAAACTTTTTTTTTTTTTAATTGGACCTTGCTCTGACTGGTTTGGCGCAGCAGTTGTTGGAGCGTCGGCCCGTGGACCAATGAGTTACGATCAAGGGCACATATCTCAGTTGCGGTTCATCCCCAGTGGGGTCATGTGGGAGGCAGCCAGTCCATGTGGCTCTATCACATCGATGTTTCTCTCTGTCTCTTTCTCTCTTTCACTCTCTCCCTCCCTCTCACTCTTTCTGATAATAAATAGAAAAATATCCTTGGTGAGGAATAAAAAATCAACAAAAAACTGGGCCTTGCCCAGCCAGTGTGGCTCAGTGGTTGAGCATCGACCCATGCACCAAGAGGTCGCCAGTTTGATTCCTGATCAGGGTACATGCCCAGGTTGTGGGCCAAATCCCCAGTGTAGGGCATGCAGGAGGCAGCCAGTTGATGTTCTCGCTCATCAGTGTTTCTGTCTCTCCCTCTCCCTCTCTAAAGTCAATAAAGAAAAAAAGAATGAAAAAAAACTGGACCTCAAGACTCCAGTATTCTTTCCACTAAACCCACATTATTGATGTTTATAATGTGGTATTGATTTTAGTGTTATTTGCTTATAGAATAAGTATGATCATTCATACTACTTGAAAAAACTATGAAGCTTAGATTCCTTAATCATACTTTATTGCTTTTGTGTAGGCACAGGTTTAGCCTCTGTTATCAAGAGATCAGGAGAGGCTGATGGAGGAAGATTGATAGAGCAGAGAAAGTTAATCCCACTAAGCAGCCAGGCATTTTCTAGGCAACTGCTGAGGTTGACTGAAACATGAGAAGATCCCATATTTCATGTATTTCTGCATATATAGTTTGTAACATATAGAACATGCATAGTCGAGTGTAGATGCTCCTTGTAATTAATCCTCAGAGTAGTATGTATTCTGAACCCCAGTTCTTTATTTTTTAGGCACCATTCAGGAAGATTACCTGAGAGAGCTGCTTACAACAATGGGAGATCGGTTTACGGATGAAGAAGTGGATGAGCTGTACAGAGAAGCACCTATTGACAAAAAGGGAAATTTCAATTACATTGAGTTCACGCGCATCCTTAAACATGGAGCAAAAGATAAAGATGACTGAAAAGAACTCCAAATTCCAACCATGTGTTCCTTGTCGCCACTTTGGGTATTTCTGAGACTTTCTCTTAGCACCTATAGCGTGCCCTAGCTTTACAGCTTTTGCCTTTGTGGTATTTATTCTCAGCCATTTTGGGCACATGCCTCTCTATAATCAGACTGGACATGGGACTTTTTGTCATTTTCAGAATAGAAAATAGGGTAATTTAACTTACCAGCCCCCCCCCCCCAATAACTGCAATCTACACAGAGTCAATATATTTTTTCAGAGAAAGTTACTCAATTTTTTCTGAATGATAATTAAACTTTATGATCAAAACTTGTTTAAAACTTCTTTATTTATCAAAATTGGCTTTTATTAGTTTTAGTTGCATCTTCCAAAGAAAGGTAGATGAAGGCAAAACCTAGAATATGGTGTGGTTGTTAGACTTCCCTTACTCCTCCCAGTTTTCCTAACAATCCTATCTCCTCTGCTATTCATCTTTCCCCTCCCAAAGAAATACAGTTTTTTGTGGTTTTTTTTTAATCCTCACAAGAGGATATTTTTCTGTTTATCTTCAGACAAAGTGGGAGGGGGAGAAAGGGAGAGAGAAACATCGACATGAGAGGGACACATCAACTGGTTGCCTCCCACACAACCCTGACCAGGGCCGGGGACAAACTGCAACCGAGAATCAAACCCTCGACTCATTGGGCTTCCGGCTGAGGCTCTACCGCTGAGCCAACCGGCCAGGGCAGAAATACAGTCTTAACTACCTTACTTGTTTCCTGCACTTTGCCAATTTAAAAAATAATTTTCTATAGAACTTGCGTATATATGATAGCTTTGGTAGCTTTAGATCCTTAAGTTTATCATA